GAGGTTTGTGTTTCTCAGACCCTTGTCTGTGCATAAAACTCATGCATTTGCATAACTGGGACTATGTAACCTTTTCAGGACAGCTTTATTCTTCTCATATCAGACTGCATTGTATTCCACTGATTGCTTGGCTATATGTATAATAATTTAACCATTTCTCTGATGATGGACATATGTAGGTCCTAGCAGGACCTAGCCTTTTGCCTTTCGGAAGTTCAAAGTAACATCTCTGTACAGACTTCTTTGTAAACTTATTCCTGTATCAATAGTGGGTACATTTCTATATATGGAATTCACAAGTCAGGAAATAGGAGCGTGTATGATTTTGCTAGATCTTGCCAAATTGGCCTCCCAAAAGATATCTATTTACACCCCAGCACTCTGGAATGGGATGCCAACACGGACCATAGAGTCTGTGGTAAAATCCCGGCTCCTCTACCAGGCAGCCTTGTCCTCTGAAACCTGACAACCAGTCTCTGGACCCAAGAGCCTTCCAGAGTCTGTAGCACAGCGTGGTTCCCAGCACGTCTCCCTCCGGGGTGTCCTCACAGCAGCACTGTGGCCTTTGGCGGTCTCCCACTGAGAACACCATGGGCCCAGAGCAAGTGTGTGAAAGCACTTCAGCATGGATGTGGGGACAGCCCGCATGTGCATCACTACCCTCTCCTGCTGTGGAAAGCTGCTCCCATTTGAGCGCAGTGTGACCAGGGAGCAGTGAAGCTAATTGCCTCCCCCAGAACCGCAGCTACATTGTGGCCTCCTGTGTCACAGGAAGGGTGGTGCAATGAAGCCCTAGATTGGTGGCATTTCACCTAGATCCTTGCCTCTCGGGCCCCATTACTCCAGCTTTCCTTTCCCCACTAGTCCAGACGGGCCGCCTTGTCACCTGACTGCAGCTCTGCCCGGAATCCCCAGCTTTCTGGAGATGGGGGAGCTCATGTTCAGGGGAAGTTCACTTTCTAGCTGTACAGCGGGCACATCCCACAAAGAGGTTGAAACACCTGAGGGCAGACTTCTCGAGATGGCCAGAGGTTTAAAAGAACCCAGTCCTAGGCCCAGCTCTCATCCGAGTCTAGGCAATGCTCACCTCCCGGGGCTCAATGACTGCTCCGTGCTGGAGGCTCCCAGCCATGGCTTGTGGTTGGAGGCCCCAGTGACTGGTTAACCCTCTCTAAGTTTTTGCATTTATTTTGTTTACTTGAAGCTGGCTTTTCAAAACAAAAATGCAACCAACTCCCAGAAGTTTTAGGCTTGAAAGGTGAGGATGATCATTTGTCCTGAAATCCTACAACTCGCCCCAACCAGTGTAAGTTCCCTCCCAGATTCTCCCTCTGTTTGCTTGGCTACTGCATGATCTGCCAACATGTGTGAGGGCCAGAGAGCATCTTGTTCCCAGACTAGTTTTCCCCTGGTCCCAAATAGCCCAAAAAATACATGTAGTTACTCAGCCCTGTCTATTTCTGAAAGCTCTGGTCTGGGAATGTTTCCCTGGAATGTTTTATCCTGAAACTGAGCAGACATGAGCCCAGGAGTAGGAGTCACACTCCTTCAGCAGCTGCCAACCCGCTCACCCTGGCACTTGTCACCTGCTCTCCTGAGGCCGTGTGCCACCGCTGACGAGCTGTGACCCTAGACTTACCACTGACTTTTCTGGACCTCGCTCTCCTCGTCCGTCAAGTGGGAAAACGAGAAGATGATAATACAAACTTCAGAGATTCAGAAGCTTGAACAGGATACGGATAAGCCAAAAATAGTCACGGTTACTCGTTGGGCACATCCAGAGAACGGAAATGGTCTGTACCCATATGTGGTTATGTCTCAATGGGCCACACCCTGTGCCAGCAGGGCTTCTCCAGAGGAACTTCACGGCCGAGACCGCCTCTCTACAATTGCTCCTGCTTAGCACACCTGGTGCCCATGCCCTGCTCCCAGTACCAGAGCTGGAGTCCATACTGCCCATGAGGGGCTCACTTCTGGTGGGAGAGACTCAGAGAAACAGCAGACTGGAGTTAAGGGTGCCTGCCGCAACAGGGTGGTGACAGCGGGGCAGCTGGAGCTCAGAACAGGCTGCTCTGGGGGCCTCCCCCGCCAGGGGCCTCGGGTTCACTGGCCCGAGGTGGACCATTAGAAAGGTGAATTCACATCTCAGTTGACACATCACCTTTGTTGAGGCCAGAGCCTTGGGTGAACACAGGGTTGGGATTTCTACCGCATTTCACAGGTAAGGGTCTGAGAGCCTACAAGTCACTGAGACTTGCCCAGGATGCCTGAGGAAAACCAGAGGACCAGATGGAGGAGGAGGCATCCAGAAGGCCTGGTCTGAGTTCCAGGTTTTGTTTGTTGGTTGGTTTTTAAGATGAAGCCAGGCCTGGGTTCCTCTCCCAGCTCTGCCCACGCAGGCCCCTGTCCTCTTTCTGGGCCTCAGTTCATGGAAGCAGCAAGCATGGTCATCGCACACCCTTCGAGGTTTGACATTAGGGACCCTACTCGGGTGCACAGCCCTGGGAAGCGAGGACTGGAAACCTGAAGAGTACGGTAAGCTCGAGGTGTGCTAGGTTCCAGTCCTCCCTGCACTGACCAGACTTGCAAAGATGACCGGCCTCCCCTCTCATGGGTCCCCTACTTGGTGTGTGTCAGCCCCACTTCCTCCATGCCAGACTAAGCCCCCCGATGATGGCAGGCATGGGGCCTGTCACTGTGGAGAGAGGTGTGTTCAACCTAGAGCCACGATCCTGGCTGTTCTGAAGTATCTAGTCACATTCCAGCTGTTCTGCCTAACCAGCTGGGTTATCTCACCCACTTTACTGTTCTCATCTGTAAGAGAGATGAAACCCCCCTCCCCCCACCTTGGTGGCCACTGGGAACCAGGAGTCTGGGATGGGGTGTGGAGAGTGGGGCTGCAGAACCTTGAGAAGCCTCAGATTCAAAGAACTTGGGAATCGTCAGACTTGATGAATCCTCAAACTATTAAGGAAATGATTTGAGGCATTTTCTGTGCTGGACTTGATCCCAGAGAACACATCATCCCCATCCTGGCCCCTTCCAGGAGCTCCCGACTCGGCGTGGAGGGCAGCAGACCTGGTAGTGGCGGGACCCCTCGGTGGCTGCTGGGGTGAACGTGAGTTGGGGCTGAGCGGGAGGGAGAACCTGGCCAGAGGAGAGTGCCTGTGAGACAGCAGTGTCGTCGCGTCGTCGCTGGAGGGAACGAACTGCAGGTCGCAACCACGGGGGCTTCTCAGGGCTGCAGAGCAGCTGCAGCTGCAGGGGTTGTGCACGTGGCCAAGACGACGCAGAGAGGGCCGCCTGCCGTGGCAAGGGGGGGACTGGGTGGGAAGCAAGCAAGTCTAGAAGGTGGTGCAGGGGTTCTTTTTAAACGGGGCCAGTTCACTGTCCCTCAGACCCGTTGGAGGGCTGGACTATAGTTAAAAAAAAAGAACTATGAACAAATTCCTATGCACACTGCACATGTCTTATTTTGAAGTAAAAAAACAAACGGGGCAAAAACACCCGGCGGGCCGGGCCTGCAGGCAGCAGTTTGAGGACCCCTGCCACAGCAGGGATGCAGTTAAACAGGAGCACCAGTGGGTGTGAGGAGGAGGGGCCAACACAGGCAGCTGGACCTGTCACCCGCCCCAAATAGCGCGTGACTAGGGAATTGGTCAAGTGCAGTCCAGGATTTGGTGGCGCTGCGGGGTAAGCACTAATCAGCTGCCCCGTGTGGAAGATGAGGCTTTCTGCCCCTGTCGGTGTCTAGTCTCAGAAACACTGTGGAACGATTGTAGGTGTACCCTACAGGGCCACCGTGAGCCAGAATGGACTGAGGCCCTGGGTCCGATTTCTGCACATTTATCAGGAGCTTCACAAATACGAAAGCACATAATCATTCTACAGATAAGGGAGTTAGGGAACATGGTTGTTGAGTGACTCGCCCCAAATCATCCAGCTACTCAACAGTGCAGCCAGCTAGAGAACCCGTGCTCTTCACCCTGCTCGGCCGCCATCCTGGAAGCCGCTTCCCAAGCCCCAGGACTCGGGAAGACCCCCGGGGAGAATTTGAAAAGTACAAGGCGGGATGGCAGTCCAGTGCCAGAATAATCCCTCCGCTCAACCAAGCCCCGCTCAACCAAGCCCCGCTAAGGGAGCAGGAAGACCCGTCTTCACGTGTCTGCCGTGGCCTTCCTGCCAGATTCTCCCCTCATGTGTCTACGTCTACCGCCCCGGATCCGAGTGCCCAGCCACAGGAGCCAGGGACTCACTCTGGCCTGTCCACTGCGGATGCGGAGGCCCGTCGGCTGCTTGAATGTGATGGAGTGGACGCAGAACCGCAGGCCTGGGGCGGCCCTCCCTGCAGAGGGGCACCACACTCACACTGCCTGGAGTGAGAAAGACAGGGCTTACCAAGTGCTGGCTTTTGTCTCTCCCTTGGCGCCCTCTCCTTGCCCCTCCACAGCCCCTCCTCTGTGTGGTGACCTGGGGTGCCTGAAGGAGACGCCTCCCCAGCCCAGGTCCCGGCCCCAAGGAAGGCCCAAGTGTTGGCTTTGCCTCAGGCCAGCGGTTCTGTGGGTCACGACCCCTTTAGGTGTCGAATGACCCTTTCACGGGTCACCCAATTCATAACAGCAAAATTACAGTTATGAAGTAGCAACAAAAATAATATTACGGTTGGGGGTCACCACAGCATGAGGAACTGTACTAAAGGGTTGCGGCATTAGGAAGGTTAAGAACCACCGCTCTAGGCTTTTTTTTCTTCAGGCTGTTTCCACTGGCATGGCTCTGCCCCAGCTCCGCAGGAAAGGGGGCCGAGTCTAGATCTTCCCACCCCCAGCTCAAAGGCGTGCCATACCCTCGGCGTGCAAAGAGAGACAAGCAGATGCTTGTTCGAATTTTTTTAACTTAATTTTATTTATTTTTTCGATTTGTTTGTTTATTTGGGGATACATGAAAAGATTGAGGTTAAAAAAAACACACCCTATTTTTAAACAAATAGGCCAAGTCCTGCCAGGCCTTCCTCCCACCCCTCAGTGGGTCCCCTTAGGCCACCCCAGCCCTCCACTCTGCAGACAGGCGCAGGGGCCGCGTCCTCACTCCAGCTAGTGCCAGAGCACAACCTTCCTGGCCTGGTCCACGCTCACCACGTGGCTCCCGGAGTAGCACCAGGCCACGGCATTGATGGCAGCACTGAGGACAGGGAGGGGCAGAGGCGGGCTTCAGGGTACTGCACTCTGACTCAGCCCCTCACTGCTGGGCTGTGGCAGGGTGCAGCACCCCCAGAGTCAGTCCCCCTCCATCTACCAGATGGCTGTGGAGAGGGTGGGAGCTGTGCATGGGAGTCATTAAGGCAACTGGTGAGCTGTGGGGGGGTGGGGATCATGCTCACCAGTGGGGCCCCCGAAGGCTGCTCTCCAGTTTCCCAGTGTCCACGTCCCAGATATAAAGTGCTCCATCTGCAGAACCCGCCAGCGCATAGCTCCGGTCGGGGCTGCGCCGGCCACCGCGGAACAAGAGAGGGAGAGGAGCCTGACATGAAGACAGACAGACACACACCACCACCACCACCACCCTGGGCAGATGGGGCATAGCCAGGGACAGGCACATACACCTAAAAACACACCTGAACACAGCTTTGGTCCAGTCAGAACCACACTTGAAGCCATCGGCCCTGAGGGCGGACAAGGTCAGGGGTCAGTGAAGGTGGCCCCTGCCCCTCAGCCAATAGCTTCCAGAGGAGGAGGGGAGAGGCCCAGCCCCAGGGTCAGAGGGCACAGTGGGTACCTGAACACCTGTCGGATATTGCTGACACGCAGGTCGATGACCTTGAGTGTGTCATCACGGGAACAGCTGAGCAGGTGCAGCTGGTCCTGGCTGAGGCTCAGGGAGGTGACCCGGCCCTGCACAGGGATGACCTGGGTGCAGTGGGGACCCCTGCAGAGCAGAGACAGGGATGTAGGATGAGGCTGGGCAGGCAGCTCACCCAGCTGAGTCCAGAGGCTCTCGATGCTGAGCACGACCCCCTTGTGCCCACTGCAGGCCGCCCCTCCAAAGAAGGTCGGAGGCAGCCTCTGGGCTGGAGAGCTGGGCTCCTGAGGCCCTCGGGCCACTGAAAATTACACTGAAAAGTCCACACGCTACTGGAAAACCAACTGAGCTCGTATTTTAAGGAAAAAACACTTTTAAAAAAGTCCTTTTGATTACAAAATGGTTAACTACATGGTTAGGATGACTGAGGCACAGCCCAGCAGTGGAACCGAGGGCCACAAAGGTGGGAGAGCTCCCTGGGACAGCTGACCACACGGACCCTGCCCAGCAGGGCCGCTGGATGACAATGCCAGACCCACCGCTTCACAGCCCTCCCAACTGCCCTCGACAGTCTGGCCTCCCTCGGGTCCTGGGCAAGTCACTTCGTCTCCAGAGGAATTTAAGTTTCCGGACTGAAAAGCAGTCCTGACTTCCCCATAGCCACAGAAAAGACACACAGCCAACCCACAGCCTGCTCCATTACCTGCTGTCCCAGAACCGGATCTTCTGGTCATTGTGGCCACTAATGATGACATGATCCCCACAGACCACGTCATTACAGTAGGAAAGCACCTTGATGGTCCTGGAACCTGGGGGCCAAGGCGAGGAGCCGCAGTCAGGAACCAGCCCCAGGGAACAAGGAGGGAAGGTGAGGTTCAGAGGGCCGTGCCTTCCCCAGCAAGAGCCTGAGCTCCCCGCCTGCCAGCCCAGGGCACTCCCCCCTTCTGGTTCATCCACCCAAGGAAGCAAGGAGGCGGACAGAAAAGGCAGGCCTTGGGTGTTTGGCTGAGGTCCCTGCTGTCTGGGCCTGGGGGTCCCAGGGGCTGGGAAGGGGGTGTTGGGCCTCACAGTAGGCCCGGCCGAGGTCCCACTCCTTCACTGTGCGGTCTCGGCTCCCAGTCACTGCCTGGTGCCTCGTGAGCTTGAATTTGGCAGCTGTCACCTTGTCTGTGTGTCCAGAGAGCGTCTCCTGCCCCATCCCCATCCCAGGTATGAATCAAGGGCATGGCCATGGCCGAGACCCTCTTAACAGCTCCCCTTCCCACCCCCCAAGTCCTGAACCATGACCCCGGACCTCCCAGATCACCCCTCCAGTCAGGCTCACCTTGGACTGTGCCTCCCCCACCGTCCAGAGCTGGGCGGCCTGACTGTAAGTGGCTGCCAGCACTTGGGAGCCCTGGAGAGAAGGAAGGGGAGGTCCTGGGCCTGGGCCTGCCTCTAAGCCTCTTACACACGAAGTGGAGCAGAGGAGTCACTAGGCCCGGGGTGGGGTGGGGTGGGGTGGGGGTGGGGGTGTGATGGAAGCAAGGAATGAGCTATGCCTCTGGGGCTGTCCCCTCACCGAGGGGTCGACGTCCACACTGGTGATGCTGCCACCAGCGCCCTCCAGGGTCTGGCTGGCCTCCAGGCGACCTGAGAGTATGGGGACAGGTGCAATGAGCTCATCAGCCTCCAGAAACGGATCGTCCTCCCACAAGTTGGAGAACAGGCTCTTTGGTCTGGCCACCCGCGGGGCACCTACTCTGCAGGATGCACTACCCCTTATGGCCAGCAAGGGGCCCCAGAGGGCAGCCGGTCATTTCACAACAGAGGACAGGGAAGACTTCCTAGATCATACAGCAAGCCCCAGCCTGGCGGCTCCCAGCTCCCCTCCTCCAGGGCGCCTCCCAGAGCAGAGTGGGACTGCCCAGCACACCCTCTCTAGACAACATGACACAAAGCAGGTAGTATTTATTTCTTCACTGAGCTCTGGGAGCGGATCCCAGGGCCTTGCTGCTCAAAGGCCTGTCCCTGCAGGGCCTGATGGGGTGGGCCCCTCCCCCAGAGAACCCACCAGCTGCAAGCCTTTCTGTGAGCTCTGCAGCCCAGGGACTCAAGGCTCCACCTTCTTCAGGGAACAAACTGAGACAAGCCTGGGCCCCTCCCCCTTGTCAGGTCAGAAGGTCCGGGAATGTTGCAGGGGGCTAGATACAGTGAGGTCCAAGCCCTCTGCCACTGAGGGTGAGATGATGGAGGGGTTGGCACTGGATTTGCCTAGGGGGGCGGGGGGGAGGGGGGCTGCCTTACCTCCCACGACATTCCAGAGGCGGACCAGGCGGTCAGCCCCTCCAGTAGCTAGGAGGCTGCTATTGGGGCCAAAATGAACAGCATTGACCTCAGAGAGGTGGGCATCCTGTGGGGGACAGGCACAGTCAGTGTCCTCGCTCCCCACATGCCTCCCAAGGCACTCACGCACGTGCACACTCACAGCCTGGCCCCTGACTCCCACAACAGCCTCCCTCCACCTGCATCCCCACCTGGGGTACTGGTCTCTCCAGTCCATCCCCTGAGCAGCTCCCACCCCCATCCTGCCCAGGCTCTCTGTCTCGCTTCCCGGCCTCTCCCTGCCCCCCCGAACTGGGGTCTGCACTTCTACCCCAGACCCCAGCTTGGGGCCCAGCCCCAAATTACCAGCACGTCCTGGGGCCCTGTAGGAAGTCGGGCGGCCACGCACACTGGGATGCTCAGGTACCGCTGCTCAGGGGCTCCCCCAACGGAATGGCCTCTCCTCTTCTTGAAGCTGGGGGGCAGGGGGACAGTTAGCAAGATTGGATGTGGGGGTGAGCCCTCGAGCTCCTCTGAGGCAGCAGCACCCGAAGGCAGACATGGCAGGTGGCAGAGCGTGGCCCTGTGGTGCAGCGAGCCCATTCCCCCACCAGAGTCCTCCCCGAGGTCAGAGTGGAGCCTGGATGGGGTGGACACACAGACAGGAGAGACAGGGCAGGGTCAGTGGACACAGAGAAACTTAGGGGCTGGGGTTTCAGTCCTGCCCTTGCACTACTTGGCTCTGTGACCCTGAACAAGTCCATTTCCCAGAACAAAACCATTTCCGAGGCTGTTTCCCCAACGGAGTGGTAGCTCCTCTCCGGCCCCAGGCTAGCATTCTGCGTTTGTCCCCTGTGAGCCCCTGGATGAGGGACAGCTGGGCGGGCCTGGGGGCGGAGGATGAGGCGGCCAGCGGGTATCTAGTTTCCCCCTCTGGGGCTTAGCAGACTCACACACAGACAGCTGGGCAACATCTGCAAGGACAGACTGAGCCACACAGACCAAGCCTAGGCTAGAGGACACCAAGCTCCAAGAGACCTGACATGTGGGCGCACACTCCGCACACACACACACTTACTCCAGAAGACCCTTCACCACATCCACACAGCGGGACAGCGTCAGGGACGTGGCGGAGGCAGACCTGGGGCACAACCAGGAGAGAGGTGCTGAGTGGCTGGCTGCTGGATCCACCGGGCTGGGAACCTGGAGGGCCAGAGCCTCTCAAGCCAGAGGGGCAGGCAGGGTGACTCGGACCAGTCCCGGAAGGTGAAGGGAGGGATTTGGCATCGAGAGTCACCCAGCATCTCTACCATGACACTAAGCACTGCCCCACCCCCAAGTGCCTAAGACAACCCTCCTGGAAGTTGAGATGGGGTCTGTGGGCAAGTTAGGGGTGAGGGTGCCCCAAGCTGGGACAGCACAAGGCCCCAGTTAGAAAGGTAACGAAAGCCTGTTAAGTGAGCTCAAGAGCCGGCAGCCAGGGGTGACTTGGCCCACCAGGGCTACCAAGGACTTTGAAGACCAGAGTGCCCCATGGCCCTCCCCTAGGTTCCCTCACCACCCCAAAGCCCTAGACTCCCAGGGTCCTGCAAGGAAAGGCTGACGAAAGGCCTTTAGGCCAGGAGATGGGGCAGGGAAGAGCATCACCAATAACAGGCCAATGGAGGCAGAATGGAGGGCCACTCAAGGCCAGGGGAGGAGGGCACCAGGAGGCCCACTCAGGTCCCTGTGTGAGTGCACTCTGCACATGCCCACGTGCTCACACTCTCGGGCATGTTCACCGTTCACCCGGGCACTATATACATGCACTCGTCTCTGTGCATGCTCATGCTTGCACACCTGTGCTGGCACACCTGCTTGGGCCAGCTGACCCAGTCCCCAGGCCCCCTCACGGCGATACCCTCTCGCCAGCCTCTGAGTTCTGGTCCTGGGAGGGAGGAGGAGGAGTGAGCACAGAGGCTGAGGTCCCTGCGTGGGCACTGGAGGTTAGGCCTATCTGTGGGAGATTCGAGCAGAACCCCAGTCTCTCCCCAACCCAAGAGTCGCCCCTAGAGGAAGACTTCCAGCCTCTGGGGCAGCCTCCTGCGTCCTCACCTGAAGGGCCTCTTCCACTTCTCACAGGCCTCACTATCCGGGGACTTGGGCTCCGAGGCCAGGGCAGCCAGAGGTTCTGCCCCCTCGCTGACCCCATCTCCAAGGGTGTCTGGGTTCCTGAGAGGGGAACTGAAGTCATGGAAGGTCGAGGGATGCCAGGCCAGACCCTCTGTCCCATGGTGAAAAGGTGAAGGCCATTTCGGGATGCGAGTTGTGTGGGCGGTTCCAGGGGAATCCTATCAAGGCATGCACGTATGTGTGTGTGCATGGGGAATGCAGACAATGGCCCACCAGGGGTCCAGGACAAGCCAGCTGAGGCTCGGTTTGGGCAAGTTCCAGGCCGTCCCAGCTCTTACTCGCTGATGCTCACAGTCCGCTTGGCAGCCTTCTTCAGCTCCTGGGACACCCGTGCCTGCTTGGCCCTAGGAGTAGAAAAATCATCTAAGGGCTGACTCAGCGGGGTGTGAGGCGGGGCCGGACCTCCTCCTAGAGGGCGGGGCCTACCCCGAAGGGCGGGGCCCAACACCTTACTTCTCTCGGCGCTCGTTGCGCAGGTTGCGCTCGGCGGCGGCGCGCGCTTTGCGCTGCACAAGCCTCTCCAGCAGGTCGCGCGCCTCCTCCTCGAGCCTCCGCAGGGCCGCGTCCTGGAGCCCGGCGTGCGCGCGCAGCGTATCGTAGGCCGCGCGCTGGGCCGCGTTC